ACTCTGTTCTTCCAGTGTTACCAGGAGAGACAGAACAACTTCTGGGACAAAATTCTGGTCGCCAAATTCATGTAATTTGGGGATAGTTTACCATTTATCACTGTCAATCATCCCAGTTTGACGTTAGGAGAATAAAGAATGTGAAAATACTCCATTGAATTTTATTCTCTTTTCCCTAAGTATTTAGGGAAGTGCTGTTTAAAACATTAAGGGGAAAAAGAAAAAAAAAATTGGGAGCTGGGATTTAGCTCAGCGGTGTAAGCACCTGCCTTGTAAACGTGAGATTGTGAGTTTAATCCCAATACCAAAAAACAAACAAACAAACAAACAAAAAACATTAAGGGGACTGTAACCCATGGCTAAAGTCATCAAGGCATCTAAGAGTCCCTGACACTAGATGGTGGCTCCAGTTATCAGTGAAGACCTTCATTTATAGTTTGGGGTTTGAGTGAGGCAAATCCAAAAGCTTCTGCCTCCGTTTCTAAATTTGAAAGATATGATCTTCAAGATTACATAGTTTTAGCACTTATGTTGAGAAATTTGGTTTTTAATTTCACATCATTCAGATTGCAAAATCAAATGATTTTGATACTTCTGATACTTCTGAAATATCACATTTTTAAATGTATCAATTAGTGTACTTCCATTGTAACTCATACTAAAAAGTGAATTACTCCAATTACTCATTTTAAAAGCATGAAACTTATTTAATTTTTTAAAAATTTTATTTTAAAGAGAATAAAACCAGACAAAATAAAGCATATAAAACCAATCAAAACAAAACTGTGGAAGTGACACAGGACTTCAGGATAATAGGAAATCAACAATGGCTACCATAATGCCTCTTATCTTCAAAATTGCTGCTTATACCATCAGACATAATAAAATCAAACAAAACGGAAGGGATTAAACAAACAATCAGGAAGGGATTAAAAATGTTTTAATAAAAAACATTGAATAAAGAAAAACAATAAAATGAAACAAAACAATAAGAACAATATTGGATTTCAAAAACAAGACAGAAGAAAATCTCCCATATTTGCTATAATCCATATTGTTATCCTCTTAATAGACAGTGATTAGCTACCAACTTTAGGTCCGCAAAGTCAATCAAACAATAGAAGCATTAAATTGTTTTTGTTTCTCAGTTGCTAACAACTTAACCTGTGTTCCTCCAAATCAGCTGGTTGCTTATGAGGCAGAGGAGGGGATGGCAGTGTTCTTGTCTATTTTGTTTCTTCTCCTGGGACCTGCATGGCTTCTGTTGGCTGAAACTTATATTTAAATGTAAGGCTTAACTATGCCTATGAGACGCTCCCTAATTTGCATATTTTATCAACTATTGATAGTCTGGGTACTGCTATGTAAAAAGTATTAAATATCATTGCATATAAAATGAGACTTTTATAGTACTTTGCATACTTATTATCAGTTTTGTGAGTGGGAGTCCATATTCTGATTCAGGACCATGAGAGGAGATATTTTTAAGAACTGAAATTCGTTATAATGGTATAAAAATTGAGGGCAGCAATAGAAATGAAACTCATCTCTCAAAACAGAGGAATCAATAGTGCCCACTACCACATTATTCCACTTCTGTTAACTATTATTTATTTATGCTTATTTACTTCAGCCACAGTCACAGTCACTGTGCCATGGGTTTTATTTTTCTCCCACAGCTTTGAGATTGGACGTTAGCAGCCTTATTTACAAATCTGCCAAAGAAAGTAAGGGAAGCAATGAGTCTCATTGTTTTGACTCCCAAACAATGGGGATTGTGAGAGATGCTTGTCCAAACTCATGAAAATAACAATTAAAACAAAAACAAGAACTTTCAGTGTTGTTTTTATAAATTGGGAGAGATTTTATTGGAAAAAATAAGAAAGGAAAAAAGCTCTTGGTTTCTCTAGGAGGAGAATTTGAAAAGTAGACTCTCCACATGGCCCTTTGGTGCAGAGCCTTCCATGAATGTGTGGCGCACAGGCAGTGCTCAACTGCTTAGTGGCCACCAAATGTGGGTGACTCTATATTTAAAATGAGTTCTTATTGGAACTCAAACTCTCTAACCCAGTTACTCACCAGGTAGGGTTTAAAAGAAACTGGAATTTTAGAGAAAATCTAGTTGTTTTGCATTTTAAGTTCCTGGGAACTCAGCAGTTTAGCAGGGAGAGATTACAATTTTCATTCCTGGTCCAAAGTCCTAGTTATACCTTGTTTGCTACCACAAGGAAGAATGATAGAAACCTTGTTTCATTATTGTTACAGATTGTTTAAATCAGGAAGGGATTAAAAATGTTTCCATGGTTTTCAATCTTCCCCCCACATAAGAAGAAACCCTAAAAGTAATAGGTGATTCTTTAGAAAAAAGTCCTAAAGTGGTGCCTCTGCCTTTTCTATTAAAAGGCATTGTGTGTGTGTGTGTGTGTGTGTGTGTACATGTTATAAGACTGTTGATATTTTCTATAGAGAGTAGAAAGGCTAGGAAAGAGCTGGCTCACTGTTTTCTGTAATGTCTATAAATGGATTTTGAGTCTAACTATTTGCTCTTTCCTTTATTCTCCAAATCATTTTCTGCCTTCTTTGCATGATCCCAGAAGTCTTTGATCAAATGAGGAAGGATATATTTTAGTAGAATCTATTTGTTCTGAAAATATGTCCACTATTTGGGGAATAGGAATTTACCCAGCCTCCTTCAAATATTATTCAGGGCTAGGGAGTGAGCTCAGTGGCATAAGCACCTGGCTGGCAAATGCAAGGTTGTGAGTTCGATCCCTGGTACAAAACAACAACAACAAAAATAAATATTGTTTGGAAGTGACTGAGGTAAAAGATATGAGTAAATTGTTAGGTATAATTAAGGGACTAGAGGTCCTATCTTTTCAGTTGGGCTTACTCGTGAAAGGATGTTCTATCACAGAAGAAATGAGAAAATAATGTCATCACACTGAGAGTTAGGGATTCAACATGCAAATTTAGGAAACATAATTCAGTACACAACAGTGTTGTTGCAAATTATTTCCCTCTTCTGTTTGCAGATTTTGTAAACTGGTAATTTTTTAAAATTTTACATTGCTGAGGAAAATGCAAACACTTTTCAGTCCCTGCAGGGACATTTGTCCTTTGACCCTACCTATAGGATTAAGGTTGGGTTTTAATTTGTACATTATAGGATTGGAATAGTATTTTAAAACAATTCCAAATAGGCTTATTACTCCTGGGATGACAGATTGTAATATCCATGTTAGAAGACCTTTTAATATTAATAAATTTTACCTTTCCACTACGTTAGAATCATTTGAATTTAACCGTGTGTTTATGAAACGTCTGTATTAATATCAGGAGGTAATCTTTCAGTGTGTCGGAGATGATTCGTGAACAGATGTTTTCCTCTTCTTTAAGAGCTGTCCATAAATGCAAAGAACAGCCTGTTTGAGAATGATAAGGCTTGAATGAAATCTAAACTCTATTGTAGGCATTCATGTCTCTCCTTGAAGAGTTTACTAACAGGAGTGAGGAAAAGCAGTTAAAAGTTTGACTATTCTTGCATTAACAATTTCTTCTTTTCCATAGAGAAAAATGAAAGTGCCAGTACTCTGTTAAATACAGTGACATTTTTAGAGTGGCAGAAATCTAGGTCAGATTTCTCCTATAATCTTCAAAGCATTGCCTTTCATTAAAAACAAAATAGAAAGTGGAACATCTCAAAGCATCCCCTGGATCATCTTCATTAACATGATAAATTCTCAGATGTGTTTCTTTCTAAACTTTCTAAAATGGCCCTACGGGTGTGAAAGTTTGTTATAGGACGCAATTTGCCATGGTTGTCATCACTGATGCAAGTATTTTCCCCTGATGTTAGATGATGTGGCTCAGGTCTATAGATTATCCTCACAGGTGAGACAATAGTTTCTGCAGAGAGTGTCAAGTAGTTCATGGATTCATGGATTTGTGGAAATAGGACAGGCATATAGAGACTAACTGTACATAAAATGGTTAATTAAGTAATTTATTTTTGAGACAGGGTCTTGCTCTGTAGTTCAGGCTGGCCTTAAACTCGCTATGTAGCCCAAGCTGGTCTTGAACTCACAGAAATCCTCCTGCCTCAGCCTCCCAAGTGCTGGTATTACAAACATGTAACCCCTTGTCTGGCTTATGACTTTAATAAGATAAAAATTCTTATAAGAATTAGGATTAAATCCTAATTATAAGTGGCAAATATGTGCATGCGCTCTCTCAGACTAGACAGCCAAGTCAATGGGTTCCCCAGTGCTCCACACAATGAATCCATAAGAACTTCTGCCCATTCTTACAAATCTAGATACAATTTCATTCACTGCAGTTAACTGCAAAACAAATGACAGGAGGATTCTGCCTTTTTTCTTTGTTCATTTCTGAATTTCACATCCAAGCTGGTCTTTTCTTTGCAATGAAGAAATTTCTAATTTTATCTCAGCTTATATGTAATTTGTAAATAATTTTATATCAAAGTATTAAATTAGCAGCTTGGTGACTGTGGAGATACTTAGATGGGAAAATATAAAATACATTTTTTCTTTAAAAATCTACAATTCCATTAAGTACAACTGTGACATTGGTGTTTACATTGTCTGTCTAGAGCTAAAATTTTACTTAATTCAAATTTTGTTGTGTAGCTCACTTTTTTATTTGAAATTTATAGGGAAAGTTATGGCTTACAAATGTGATCACGATGCCAGGAAAACAGACACAGATATTCAAAATAATCTTCATGCTCTAAACAGATTTTCTGAGTGACCAATTTTCATAATAATATGTGGAAGTAAGTCAAAACTGGCTGTTAAGAACAAAAATGGAAGATACAATGAAATTCTGTAAAAAGTTAGTGACACTTTAGCATTAATATTTCAACAATTATAGTTTAGAAAGGACACACAAATGTTACTTTCTGCACTGAATTAGATAATGCCTTTGCTGTTTTATTATCTTTATAAATAACTTTTTAAACATTTTTTGTGTTGCAGCTCCAATACTGGAACCAGACACGTAAGACCGAAGGACACTGTTATGTATACAAGGACGTACGTAGAGAATAGGTATTGGAAATGTATTGCAAGTATTTTTATCTTTTTATAATTTCGAGATGATCTGTGTTTAACAAGAGATGCCATCATTTTTGGGTATGTTTTTTTTCAAAAAGAAAATCATTTAAGAGTATATTGAGCTCTAGGCATATGTTACTTTAAAACGCTGCCAATATTAAGCAGTTGATAAATAATAATAATCATTGGACAGAGTACTTCAAAATAATTCATGTATGCATAATGTGATTATCAGTAGAAAGTCCTCACAAAACATATGACTGTATTATTGTAATAAACCTTATAAAATTACACAAGTATTTCTATTGGAGTGCCATTTTAATGAAAAGACTCATCTACTGTTGCAGAAAATTATATTTCAAAATAAGGGTATAACTTTAAGTGGCGATACTCTGGCAAAAATTGCAGGGAATTGAAATGAAATCTGCTGATGGGAAAAATGCATGTTTTAGAAAATATCAACCAAAGTAAAGGATTCAGAATCCATTTGGTTTTCAAAGAAATTGGCCTAATTGTGGAATAATATAATGGCAAAGCACATAAATGTGGATATACCATACATGTATGAGTCCATTTCAAAGACTAGAGTACCCAGGGAATTCTTCTGGGTGTAGGGGATTCTGTGAGGCTCCAGGAAACTCAGTACATGCCAGGAGGTGAGTAACATTCCAAAAGTTTCTGCAAAGATACAACTTCCAAATTAATTTTGCTCTTAATTTAGTTCTTAGTCTACGGTATGTTCAAGATAATGATTTCTTCTCTATCTCCATTAATCTAAAAGATGAAATATTTCAGAGTAAAACTTAAAAGCCAATATTTACTAAACCTAAAAGAAATGGGCAAGATAAATAGTATCAAAATAGTATTACAATGAAGGCAAGACAGCAAACACTAGCGAATAGAATAAAAATAACAATATTTTATTCTATATTTACATAATAATTACTTACATAACATATCTTTATGGGATATTACTCCAGTATATTTTGCCTTCTAAAAAAATGTCTCATGAGAACTAATTTAAACAGCTATGATTTTGAATTTTTAAAGGAATGGTGATTTTTTTCCTAGAGTTAGGCATGTTTTAGAGTTTCGGATTTATTGAATAATGAAGAAACTAAAACATCCTTGAAATATTTAACTGTGCTGACTATGGATTTTTTTTTAAACTACAGCATATATGTTTGTATCTGTACCTGTACCTGTGCATGTGTGTCATGTATACATATAGAACAGTGATTCTCAGAACGTGAACTGGGAAGGTCAGCATCACAGGGGAACCTATTAGAAATGAAAATTTGTTTGCTCCACCCTAGACCTGCTGAATCAGAAACTCTGCAAGGAGGGTCGAGTGATCTGTGTTTTAACAAACTCATCATATTTCTGGTGTACATTTAGATCTGAAAACCATCGCTAAGGAAACTAATGTTGTTTATGTCAGGACAATTGGTTTTTAGGGCCAAAAATCCTGGAAGGATTAGTTGTCATCATGCTTTAATCCAGCATTGATGGTGATGTACCTTAGGTACTTTCAACTTTTCTAAAATCTATGCTGACAGAACATGTTGTGCAATATAAAGTCCCCATGATCCGATTCAGGGTTGAGTCCTTGTTCATCACTAACCAACCATGTAGCATTGGGAAAGCTATTAAATCTCAGATTCTTCTTCAGTGGAATAGGAATAATGATATGTATATCATACATAAATATGTATGAACTCTATTTGACATTGTGGGCTACTATATTCTGTAGTAGTTTCTTTTAGTGCTGACAGCAATCTGCCTGTGAGTGATTTGAAGGGAAAGATATATTTCCCATTAAAAAATCCAAAGTGAGAGATACAGAATTAGAAGTCATTGTCCTGAATGGTAGGGGTATATTGCTTCTAATTCTAATATATTCCCAGGTAGCTTAAGTACTTGAGAAGCAATTATAAGGAGTCGGCTGGTTAGTGAATTCAGATTTTGTTTGTCTCTGGGAAACAGTGATGTTTACAAATTGGGACCAATCTATAAAATGGAAAATACAAGATTTAAGGATTACACCTATCTCATTTTCACTATAAGCTACTCTGCTTTGTATGTTTTCAAGTGAAAATAAAAATTTCTAAAGCTTTCTGCAGAAGTTCAAGAGTCTCTGCTTCTTCCTGGGAACAGTATGTGGGCATGAACTTGCTGTGCTCACCTTTGCCTGTTTCTTTAACTTTGTTAGACTCTGCATCACTTAAGTTTAGTAAATAAGTGAAGAACAAGTACAAGTTTCATGAAACACCATGACGTCTATGTCTGCTCAACTGATTCCTGTACTCTTTTTCCCTACTCTCTTTTTACTTTGGTGATACATGCTCTTAAAGGTGTCTTGTGCATCAGTACTTCAGATGAAAGGGTAAGAAATGCCATCACACCATCTTGACTTGCATCATTACAAGGAACAGTAAAGTAAGGCTGCACGAGGGGATGTGAATGTGCTTGCTTCCCTGTACGTGGATGTGTACATCAGTGTTATAGAAGTTACCCTGATTCTCACATGTCATACATGTTTGTTTCTAGTGAAGTACCAAGAGATGAGTATCAGGAGACTAGCTCTGGAAAGTATATACAAACTGTGTATTCAACTTCAGACAGGTGAGTATACAGAAGTTTGTATGTTTATGTATGTATATACATGCAAATATGCATGGGTACTTATATGTACATTGTATTTTTCTCACCTTTTTTCTGGGGGTGGTTCCTCTAATGCTAATTATTATATATATATGCATGAAAAGAAAGGAGTACTACTCTACATTTGGGAATTATCTTCTTGACTTCTTGGCTGTTGCTGCTCTTGATTTTTGTGCTCATGATTCTAAAAGTCTTACAGGCCATCTTTCTGTTGTTGATGATTCTTAGAAGTCCCCAGAATACCATGTATTAGTATGTAAGCTTCATTGCTTCAGAGAATGACCTTATCCCCCATATTTGTAGTTTTCAGCTGCATGGATGTGCTGCTGACACCCACTCTGGACCCAGTTCAGTTCCTAGGAGTAGGCTTACGATGAATTTTGAATTGGTGCTGGTGAACAGGCCCCACTCCATGCTTTTGGGACTAGTGATCCTCTTTAGCTTTAATATTCACTGGGCTCTTAGGTGACACTTAGGAGAGGATGGCCTACAGATTTCTAGCGGAGTAAATGAAAATGTTTAGTATTTTAACCCACCACTGGTAAAAAGCTATTATGCAAATGTCTGATATTTCACGGGTGGTGATTTTCACATGCTGTATATATGACTCATTGAGAATAAAGACATATTTTACTTTTTATGTGTAGTCTCAGCTTCTAATGCAGTGTTTGGCATCTTACAGGTACTCTATAATTTTTTTTTTTGAAAACACAACCCCATGTCCTATTTTCTAAGGGAAGTATACATGGGTTAGGTGTCAAAATAATCCTGTTTCTCTAGTGGTATGAATATAAACTATTAAAACTACCATTGGAAACAGTATACAGGGTCCTCTTAAAGTAAAAACAAAATTACCATTTGATACCACAATCCCACTGTTGGATTCATATCCAAAGGAAAAAACAATCCATATGCCAAGGAGATCTCTGCACCTTTATGTTCATTGTATTTTACTTTGCTCATAATAACCAAGATACAGAGTCAATCTAGATGTCTACTGATGATAAATAGATAAAGAAAATGTTCTGTTTTGTCAATTAAAATAAAAATTATAGCCTCTATCTGATGCTTTTATGTGATTTTTCATTATGAAATCTCTGCTGAGGGTTTTGCCTTTTAGGTCACACCTCTCTGAGGAGAAAAGTAATCTATATAAATATTAGAATGACGAGCATAAAGTAACCAAAAACCTCCAGAACTAAGATTTCCATAATTTTTGGAAAGATCTTAACAAGGCCAGTATCAACATCAAAGTTTTCCCTGGGCTCATATTTTTATCGCTAATTTAAGGAAGGAAAATATGTTCCTATATTATTGTCAACACGAGGAATTTCATTCCTGCCCAGAAGGCTCTTTGTGAAACCTTCCTTAGTTGTCAGTGCAAAAGTCAGTTGTCCACCAGACTTTTGCTGTTGATTAGTGTGTGGAATTGGCTGAGTGCCTAGCGTTTTCATCTAAGCATTTTTAGCTCATTAAAAGTGCTTGCCGCTTTATGAGATAAAGGCCCAAGTCCTTTGTACATTATCTATAGGGCTTCAGAACCTGCTGCTGTTAAACTGCTAATGCCCTAATTTGTCCATCCTGTTCATTCTGCCTGGAGTTCCTCCCCAAGGCTCCTGTACCCACCTTACCCAGCCACCTCAGGTGTTTCTTCCTCTTCAAGATTTTACTTTTTCTGACAAGTCTTTCCTGACACCCTCTACAGTTGTTTGTTGTCTCAGTGGATTCTCCTAATTCTTTGCTTGTCCACATTACACTTGCACCACTGAATGACACATTTGGCTTCCCCAGTGGAAGAACTTCTCGCCAGAGGCCAAATCACCACTCTGTATTCCCAGCTCCTACCTCAGTGCCTGTGGGCTACACAGATTATAGGGCACCCATTCTGGGGGATGTCAGGAAAGACTTGTTGGAAAAAGTGCATATGGGACAGATGATAGCACCTATTTTCTACTCTTAAAGTGTTTATAATCTTGGGCAAGAAATTGTAGAATATATGTGTTCTATCTATCATCTCACCTATGTATGTATGTATGTATGTATGTATGTATATATATATATATGTATGTATGTATGTATCTATCTATCTATCTGGAGAATTCATGGGGAAATATTTGCCAGATAGCTTTATTATAAGCAAGTAGTTATGGAATGGAATGGAAAAATATTCACTTGTATCCGTACAATTAGGAGGACATTGGTAGGTAGAACGAGATAAAGTTTATCTAATCTTTATCCTGTCTCACTGTCTCTTTCTTCCTCTTTTGCCCCTCTCTGCTGCTATACCTGTGTTCCAGGGCATAACTAACTCATTTCTTCCAAGGAGCTCAATATACCTTTGTCAGGCCAGGGAGCCTAGGGCCACAATTGCCCCTTTCATATTTGCTCTCTGCCTGCATGATAGCAACAGTTAGCTTACCTTTCTGTGCATCAGTTCCCTTTCCTATAAAATGATGTAAAGATGCTAGCATTGAATTTTCAGGGGCATTACAAAGAATGAATAAGTTTCTATATGTAAAGTGCATGGGAAAATTCGCTGCATATATTAAATGCTAAGCAAGTATTGGTTATTTTTGTTTCTGCGCCTTATTATATATTCTGCTCTGGAAATAGCAGGCCATCATGCTACTGCCTCAAAACCAGTAAACTCTAACACGTGTTTTTTAACACAGGAAAGGAACAGTGGCCTTTCTTAACACTCTGTAGTGATCATAGGCTTTTGAACTCTGGCCACATGTACAGTTCAGTTATTTTTGAGCATTAGTTTTCTTTCATCAAATTTGTGCAGGGTTATATCTTTTTGTAGAATGTAAATTTCATCATGACATACATCCCTGTTAGTATGTTGACTTAACTATAATACCAAGAGGGATGTTATAGTGAGTGAGACCCCAGAGACCTGAGTGTTACATATCTATCACTTATGAGCTTATAAATTCAGTCGTGAATGGATTTCTATTTTTGATCTATTGAATGTTTTGAGAATTAAAAACTTACATTCATCAGCAGTGTAATTTTCTCATATACTCAGTAAAATGATATGTGTAAATTAATAATTAAAAACTCTCATCTATCTTCCAGGGGTACTTAAAATCTAGTTCAACTAGGGAGAATGAACATTTTTGTCCTGCTCAGATGCTTCTTTGATTGTTGCTACATTAATAATCAGAGACTTTCCATTATGTTCATCCCTTGACATTATTTTGGAGTAGCTAGATAATCAAATCTATAATTAGAATAAGTAAACCTTGATCTTTCCTAGAACTTAGTGAAATTTACTATAGTATCATTAAAAGTAACATATAGAGAGGAGATGTGTTTACATGATGGCAAATTTATTTTCATTCTTTATATTTCTGTAGGTCTGTCATTGAAAATGACATGTGCACTTACTGTCGAAAACCCTTGGGTGTGGAAACTAAAATGATTCTTGATGAATTACAAATTTGCTGTCATTCCACATGCTTTAAGGTAAACATGTTTACTTCACTAAACTACATGTAAGATGGCACAATGTCTGGAATGAAAACAGTTTATTAAAATACAAGGGTCGAAGTTAAAGTTGTTAGAAACTCTATAATTCATATTAATAATGCACTACTTAAATATATTTCAGAGTCCTGTGGCCTACACTTCAGAGTTTTGTATTACTATCTTGGCTGTAGGCTCAGAGTTGATTACTGATACACCTATTCGCTCTTTCTCTAGAGATTTAACTCTGTGGAAAAGATAAACATTTGTTCTTTTTATAAAAACTTTACATTTTAATAAATCATTCATTATGTTAAAACGTACGATAAACTCTAAAAGGAAGATAAACTGTTTAGAAGAGAGTGAACAACTCATTCATCATGAAAGTAGCCTTATAGGTTTAACGATTGTTGAACAATCTACTTTTGAGACTATGATTAATCATAATTAGTTGTGCCTTAATAATTGATAGTAAACTTCCATTGGCAGAATGCCTTACAATTTGGTTTTTGCTGGCTGTTTCTTTTTGTTCACATAATAAGATTGGTGGGTCAGCGCTGCAGCCCACCAATGGGATGCCATGGACTCGAGTTCTTGTTCTGCCTCTGTCACTAGCTGTCACTGTGTAACTGGACAATCACTCAAATTACTTTGGCTTGTTTCCTTACTTGTCAAATGAGGTGCTTAACTATACCAACTGTTCCTAATCTTGGCCACATATTTTAACAGTCTGAGTGTATGGGGTCAAAAACTTGGCACCAGCCTTGAATTAAGCAAAGAATCTCAGAGATGGTTTGGGGACAACAGTAGTTTTAAAAAAATCTTTCTTTTATTAGTACATGTTTATAGTGCATGATGATTATATTCCTCATGGGGATTGGTACATCTTAATCCTCTTTTTTATCTCCTTCTGTCCCCCTTTTTCCTTCCTCTTTCTATCTCTTCAGTCCCCTTTTAAAAGCCCCTTTGATATAGGTGAGATGCAACCAGTTTGAGAAACACTGACCAAATCTGTGTTCTTTCTACTAAAGTCTTTCTGTAATTGATGCAAATTATGTAATCCAGTCAAAGAGGTATTACTCTTTGTCAATTGACTTCTGTTCTACTTATCTTCAGACAGTAACATACAGTAATCAGAAATATGATGTATTATTTTGAGAAACAAAACATCCATCTATCCAATATAGGATTACAGAAATATAGTCTGAAGATTAAATAACCTATAAGAACTTACAATTACTTTTTTAGAGTTATGAAATTTATTCAACTAAATAAAAGTGTTAGGCCTTTATTTAAAAATACTATGCAGAAAACGTTACGAAATAAGAAAAATCTTGATTAATCCTTTGATGAAAAACATACTTTTCATTTATTACAACTTCAATGTGATTTTCAATATAGATATACAGTATAACAGAATTAAAATGTTTCCCTCACTCATAGAGAAAGATAGATTGTGCTACAGTCATGGCAATAGAAAACAACTCAAGCTAGTTTAAACCTGTCAAGTTGATCAGTGACAATTTACTTATAGCGAGCCTATTTCTGAAAGCCAGTCAATAATAACCCAGTATTTGGAATTCAACCAATCAGCAGTGGACAGATACAAAAAAAGAGGTCAATGCTTTCCTGTGTTGGTCTGCAACTCAAAACAAACTTACCCCTGAAACCTGTAAGATTAGCACTTTGTTTTTCATGATGGGGTTGCACATGGACAGCACCTGGACCCTATGTAAGCCACATAAATACGGGTTTGTTTTTGTTTGAGATATTCAGTGGTCAACCTATCCTTGAGTTAAGTATAAAACTTCAATAGTAGTGAGTCCATGAAATGCTGTGAGAATTTTTTGAAAAGCTTAATATGTGAGCTATGGAGTAGTATACTTTCAATTTTCCTATGACTTCTCTTTTTTAGTATTATCACTATTATTAACCCATGATTTCTTTTTTTTTGCAGGGGGTACTGGGAATTGAACTCATGAGCTTGTGCTTGCCAGGCAAGCACTTATGCCACTGAGCTATATTCCTGGCCACCCCATGATTTCTTTTGAGGCTGCCTCTGAGTGTTGCTATAGAAGACAGTTTTGAATAAACTAAATATGATTGTTTATCTCCATTTGCCTAAGAATCCATACTTAATCTATTATGTAAATTTTACATATTATTTTTTCTTCTTTAGTGTGAAATATGCAAACGGCCTTTGGAAAACCTGAAAGCAGGTGACAGTATTTGGATTTATAGACAAACAATACACTGTGAACCTTGTTACTCTAAAGTTATGGGTAAGTGCTATGTTCTGCAGGGAGCAATTACTTTGAACATTAATAAACATTTAGTATGTTTGAAAATTATATGCTTCAATAAAGTGCAACTAATTTACTAATTGTATTTAGTTATAAATTCAGCTGTAAATAGTTACATCATGGTAATATGTTTTTTGAAAATTCATCAAACATATATCAATGAAGGATAAAATGGAGCCCCCTGTACCTTTCTTTTTTTAAAAAAAAATTTTTTTTTTTTGTCTTTTTCTTTTTTATCGGTACCGGGGATCGAACTCACGACTGCCTGCTTGCAAGGCAGGCGCTTATGCCGCTGAGCTAAATCCCCAGCACCCCCTGTACCTTTCTTTAGAATTCAGTCTTATACATTATTTGCACCTTGCAGATCTATGAAATGAACACATAAACTCCTGTCCCAAGGAAGGAAAAACAGTAGGTGCTGACAAAGAGGTGGGAAAGATTTGTTCAGGATGCAGTACCAAAGCAAGACAGAAAGACTGAGATAATATGTACATTTTCTTATAGCTCAACCAAAACCATATACACCAAATTGAAGAAAAATATATTTTTTCTTCAAAACCTGAGACACCTGGAGTCTTAAATAATAATTTACTGTAGCTGTGGACATCACAGTAAAATTTATTTTAAAACAAAAGCTCCGTTGGGCTGCATCAAGTGTAGAAGAAAGGGAGGACTTTCAGTCATGGCTCAATTACTAGTGTGCATAAGATGAAAATGGTCTCAAATAAGCCTTTAAAATTTAAAAACTGCAGTGCAACTTTCCCATGCAATATTTTTTCAGTGCTACTAATGAAAAAAAAAATTAAAGCTCACACTGGTGTCACAGGTGTTACACTTTTATCTGATCTCTTTCTTCTAAAGTTAGCTTCCCAGCGATATTTAAAATCTTGCAAAAATATTTATTTTTTTCACACAGATCTTGTTGTAAAATCTGTACATTAGGGTCAAAAGGTAGGAGCAGCAAAATTCTGCCATATTGTATATTTTGTTTAAAGTATAAAATCAGCTAACATTATATTGTGTCCTGGTATAAGATAGGACATAGACACAACTAAGGAAAGAGATGGTTTATTTTAGAAAAATATCCATTTTTCTAATAAAAATAGATCTGCTCTGATAAAAATGATTATTTAATTGAAACATTTCTGTGAGTGATCTTTTACATTTACACTTGAGTATGGTTTTTAAAACATCTAATCTGTATCACAATAAATGCCTTTATGTTACTTTTAAATAAAAAATTACAGTTAGTTTTTTGTGATTCTATGTTAACTTAGTTTTTGTTAACAATTTAAGACCAAATGTTACTATAATTCAGATTTGTAATTAGCATCAATAATGTGACAAGAGAACATTAAGGGCATACCTTTTAATTAGCATGTATTAATTGTAGAAATTTACCAGTTTCACCGTGACATTTCCATCTATCCATCATGTCATGTCTGTTCTTCCCTCTCCCCTTTCTGGTCTTCTCCTGTCTTCCCTAGGCCAGCTCCCCAGTCCCTAATAGTCTCACTTCTACTTATAGGCAATATTTTTTTCTTTTTACACCTGAGGAAAATATGTCATACTTTCTGTATCTGATTTATTTTGTTCAACATGAAGAACATGTATTTTTAACTACCATTTTCTATCAAGTAAGCATGAAAGGTTTCAAAGCTAACCTAAGAGATATGCAGAGTAATAAGTGAACAACACAAAGTTCTATTAAATTTGACTGATTTTAAAAGTCAGTATTTACATTTTATTTATAGTATATAGGTACAACAATGAAAGTGATACCTGGAGAAGGTGCACAGTACTGTGCGGAAGGCAGTTTTTTCCTGATGCCTTGTTGCCGCAGTGAATGTAAGCGGAACATTTGGGATTCCTACGTGGGATCCAAAGTATGGAGCTTAATGACAAATATGTCAGCCTAATGAGCTACTGGGATGCTACATCTGGAAAATGTGCTTAAAAATATTCTGAAACCCACGTTCCATCAGGCTGCGGAATCAATTACAAGAATAAAACCTAATTATATTCATACTTTGCCTTCTATTTATTGCTTTCCCCAGACAGTTTTCAGATTTCACTTTTCTTTCTCATTTAGCAGCCTTATCATGATCCAATATTGTATCATAGGGCTTAGTGTGCATGGCGGGAGTTCCAAAGCTTTAGTCTCCCATGACTTGATGGCCTGGCTTAGCAGGTATGGTTAACAACAGACTCAGAAGTCTTACTGTATTCATCCTTGACTCTGAACACTTTGTGGGTGTTGCACTTCTTGTAGTACATGTAAGTTATCAGGCTATGACTCTGGGGTATGTCACAAATATGCTTATCTGGCATTTAGCACCTCATGTATGATCAAAAGCTACTCTGATGAATTTGGTAATAGAAAGTAGCTTGGAATGCTTAATAAACCACTCTCTCTTGAATGAATTTTTTTAAATTTTGGTAGTGGACTTATTTTTTTATTTTAAAGAGATTAAGACAAAACAGGACATAACAGAGCAGATCAGAACAGAAAAATGTAAGCAACACAGTATTTCACCAGAAGACAACCCGTCATTAACAGTAACTACCACGATGTCTCTTTCTTTGAAATAGTTGAGTATAGCTTCAATATAGTATCAAACATAACAAAATAGTATAAAAACATTCAAGAGAATGAGAGTGTTCAGGGCATTCAGAACCAAATAACAGAAAATAATCAATGGTTACTATATTATCGCATTTTCCATAGAAAATTTGTTTATACTTTCACATGTAATACAATTCAATAAGGTACAACATGACAGAGCCAATGGAAACAGAAGAGCAAGAGCATGGTAGGACTTCAGAGTAAGATGATATTATACCAGTACTGGCTTTTATAATGACTTGTTTCCCTCAAATTAGCTGTTCATACCATCACAAATAGTAAAATAAAAAAACCAGGACAAACACATTACAACTGTGATCATTATAAGGCTTCAAAACAATGTAATGGGGAATCATGATTACCATAAACTATTACTATTTCTTACACTAGGGAGACTATATGATATTTATACATGTGGGTTTGATTTATTTCGCTGATGAGTATGGTCTCAAGTTGCAGCCATTTATTAGTAAGTATCTCAATGTGATCATTCTTTATAGCTGAGTAGTATTCCACTGTATAAAAATACCACAGCTTTTTATCCATTCCTCAGTTGATGGACACTTAGGTTGTTTCCAAGCTCTGACTATTACAAATTGTGCTGCTATAAACATGGGTGCACATATATCACAGGGGTATGATGTTTTCAGTTCTTCTGGGAATATGCCCAGAAGTCGAATAGCTGGGTTAAATGGGACCTCCAATCCCAGCTTTTTGAGGAATCTCCAGACTGACTTCCACAGTGGTTGCACCAGTCTACACTCCTACCAACAGTGCAGGAGAGTTCCTTTTTTCCCACATCCTCTCCAGCATTTGTTGTTGGTAGTTTTCTTGCTCCTGGCCATTCTTTCTGGAATGCAATGGAATCTCAGTTGTTTTAATTTGCATTTCTCTGATGACTAATGATGATGAACATTTTTTCGTGTATTTATTTGCCATTTGTATTTCTTCATCTGAGAACTGTGTATTCATCTCAGATTAGTGCACTTATTTTTGTACTGAATTTGTTATCTGTTTTTTCCCCCAGCAAAGTGGATTCAATAAAGCTGGCACATGGAAATCAAGATGAACAGCATTCACTAAAGAATTAAAAGTTGCAAGTTTTAAAAACATGTAATCTACAAGAGTTTTTATGCTGAAGATCAACACTTGTATAAAATTATAATAATTCTGATATTGCATAAGTAATAAAGTTACTTTCAATAAGATTATATAAATGAAAAGAGCCATCTGGTATCTGGCTATATTAGTGATAAGAAACTCGCATGGTCTAATTATGAGTATCAAAGGAATAATGCATTTGATGGTGGCAAACATTATCAGGCTTAGGCAGATCTATGCCTGGCTGTACATCGTGATTCCCATTAGAGCAAAGTTGTTTATTTTTGTCACCGTTATTCTTCTAAGAATTTGGGTTCTCAGGCATTATTGACACCCTAACAAAGGTACCAAAGGAAGAAAGATGCTTATTTTTTCTGCAGAAGAAATGTTAGAAATTTTCCTACAAACTTTGGCACAAAGATGTCAACATAAAAAGTTGTATGTATCTTAGAAAATCACTCAAACTTTCTATATCTCCATGACATTGTTTGTGATATGGAGGGGCCCTGGACAAAACGATTTGTACTTCTCTTTTTCTGATGAAACTTTGAGTTCACTCATTAAAAACATCATTATATGTGTTTGTTAAACTTATTCACTAAAGAGAACACATAAACAGTTTGATCTTAGTGTCATTCTTCAGTTTATCACAACCATGATTTACATGTACTATATCTTTTAAAAAAGAAATAAACTTATGGGGCATAGGTAAACTAATGTGACATGTATAGTTTACATGTTATAACTTGTTAAGTTTCCTTTGCATGAATTTTAAAAATCTGGATATATAAACAATGTATAAGAAATAATGGTTATGGATTATAAAGGTATGCTACATGTTCTAATATTGCATAGCACTTTATATTTATGGAAGGCTTATACAAATAAAGTGAACCGTGAAAATACAGAATTTTTATAGCGTGTTTATAAATATCATCCACTAACACTGTTTCTGTCAATTATAGTGATTACAATTTATTATATTCTATGCTATGTCAGTTAACTTATTTTTTAATTGCCTACACTATATATTTTTAGTTTAGAAGAGCTTTATAGAAAGGAATTGAAAATTCAACAATTAATGAGAAAATAATATTATTAACACTGAGAAACTGAACTTGTATACATAGAGATACAGAGATACATAACTGTTTCCTGGAGAAAGAAGCATTGAGATGGGGATGAAATTCTAGGGTGATTTTAAGCAACTTGGAGAAGCTGACATAAATAGAGATAAGGAAAGATAATCATGTATTTTAGAACTGGTGGCAAATTCAAAGAATTATTCTTTGTAATAATTTCTTGCATCTGTAATTCTTCAAGACTGGTCCACAAAGTGTTAAACACAAAGCACTTATCAAAATACAGCAGTGTATAATCGCCCCATGGAGAGGGAGCCAGTGAAAACAATTAATAATAATTTGATATTCAGTAATTCATGCTTGAAGAGAAGAGTGGTAATTGAGCCATATGTTTTATTGTTCTTTTATTACATGCTATCAGAGTGGATCAAAAGAAATAATTTTCTTAGAGTTGAAATCCACTGCAGAAAAGGGCAGATGAAATAGCATCCCTGCCTTCTCCACGAAGCATATTAACATCTCAATGCTTTTGTAGTAAACTCATCTGAATATCATTTTTAAAGTATCAAAATCTAAAAGGGGCACATTTCTCACTTCTCTGTAGCTGTTCTATGGGTGTTTTCTTGTATAACAATGTATTAAATCAAACTAAATACTGTGGTAAAAATGGAATAAGTACAGAGTGGAAAGGGCAGGGCTTCTGATGCATCAAATCCACTTCATTATGTCTGAGTTTATTCTCAGTATAGGAATGCCAAATTTCTAAAATGATTTGCAAGATCTCATTTTTTGCAGCCAATTAATTACATTATGATTGTTACACTTTTCTTGGACACTGTTGCCTAAGTCTAGGAATTCTGTTGCTGATTGAAAGATACCTTTGTAGAGAAATAAGAGTTCTACCAGGACATTATCTTTTTAGGAAAACAAGAGAAATACAATACTTTCAGAAATGGAATTTGTTAAAATATCATATACTTTTCAAGGAAAGTCAGGCAATAAGAATTTATTTGAGAAGTAATCTGTGTATTCTTGATTATAATCACTGAGCTACTTGGATATACAGTATGTGTGAAATGGTCTAGCTATCACTGCTGGTTCACTCTCTGACTTGTTTACCATGGTGGAAAACCATGAGTGTTTGTAACATTTTCTTTTTTGATTCAGAGCTATATCAAAACAAGTCACTGATATATATGATACTCTAACGATTTTTTTGAACTATGTAATTGTTATTTTGGTACAATGTATAATCTGCTTTTAGAGCTCCAACTGTTTTGTAAGATTCAGCAGTTCCTAGAGGCACCTGTGAATATGCTTCCTAATTTGAATGGGTTTGTGTTCTCTCTTAGATACACTGCCTACTGTTTAAAATGTGGGGTTAAGAAAGTGACTCTGTAATGCATCTTCCAGCTCAGTATAGATCTAAGTTTGTTCTTTTATTCATCCTTTTTGTGTGATCTCTTTTTCTAGATGCCTCAAGAAATGGAATCTTTTGTGTGTGCTTTATAATTTCATTTAAATTTATCACAACACAAAGTTAGGCACTCTTCCTACACTTGTTTACTAGGTATTTGTCTATATTTACTGAGATATTAAAATGCCTGAGTTAGGTTGTGATTTCAGGTTTTTTCTTTTTTTACTTTAAGAGGAAAGTGAACATCATCTTTGCCTTAAAAGTACCATTTAAGAAGGATCTCTGGAGTGTTTCTGCACCCTTTTTTGTACATCATTCTCATTAATACATTTAATTACTCAGTTGTTCTAATATCTGTTTAAAATTTATGGTTTATAATTTACATTCATCTATGTTACTGTTATGCAACTTCCATTTTTTCTTTAAGAATCTGCTATGTTTCAGATCCTATAATCAACAAAACAGCTGTTGTTGTCCTCATGAAACTTAAAGTAGATGAAGGAGAGACAGCAAACAAATAAATATAATTCTGTAATTAAGAAGATCCATGAAGGAAATAATTCAGTGACTGTGTAAGGAGGTATTTTTAAAAAATAATTTCATAAAATGAAAAGGAGCTATTTAAAAAATAAATTCTAAATAATGGGAAGGAATGAATATGGAAAAAACTTTCCAAGAGAAGCTGCCTTAGACTTGACAAAAATCAGGGTTTTTTTCTGCGATACAGCTAACCTTTGCTTCTTTTAAACACAATGAGATGCAAATACAAACACCAAGACACAAAGACCAATCAAAAAAGCTTTAAGGTTCCTCTATTACCCATGAAAATAATATTCAGACATTACTCGGGCTGTTTTCAACTCTATGCCAAGGATGAATTACACCAAAGGGCTGCCTGTTCTCGGACCCAGGATGAAGTTGCTCACTCAGGCAAAGGAGCCCTCAAGGAAGCCCTGGTGACTGTGGGGTGGGGGTGGGGTGAGTGGGAACTGGCCCACTTCTCGTGTGGTATCATGGTGTGATGGGAACGAGGTGTGAGATTTTCACACCTCATTTGAGGTATAAAGAGCATTTCCCTTTTGGCTTTCCAAACACTAAATAATAAGGCAGCATCATTTCTAATCTAGAAGAGATTTCTCAGAGGATTTTTACAAACTTTTCTTATTTTCTTGTGGCAATATAAACAGTGTATCTAATAGAAAGAAACATTTCCATTTAGATCTTGTATACCTTTCATTACAATGTGTTGATTTTGCCTCCTTCAAGAGAAAAGGATCTTGCGTTTCAAGGATTCTTCAGATCCTTGCGGGCAAATTGGATTGAAATCTCCCTCATGAAAATATCTAGGTCCTAAATTCAGTAGAACTTTAATGTGATTCAGCAGTAGAAAGAATTCCAGAAGGCTAGAATTAGTGAACATGAAGAGATGATAATGAAGAAGTAGGCAAGAAACATGTTATTTTAACTGATTATTACAAATAAATGTTAATCAGTGAAAGTTGCATTGAATAAAACTTATTGGACTAATCTCCTGTAAGGGATTCTGAATAACAAAGTAAAGTGGAATTATTGTTGCTAAAATTCCATATCACAAAGCTGAAGTTGTTTATCTGACCTTCTGAGGAATAAGAAGAAAGATGATAGCCAAACCCCCCTATAAACCAGTTTTAACCAGCACTATAAGGAGATCTTTCTGTTTTAATTTTATAAAGAAAGTAACTTTTAAACAATTAACTTCTTGTTCTCTGTTCCTGCTTTCTCTGTTCAGCTCAGGAAAATACTCATTCTGTTTTATGTTGTTGTTCTAATAATATCTTTAAATAATTTTGTCCAATTCTAGAATTACAAATAAAATTCAATTAAAAATCTTTCAACTAAATTTGATTTTGTTCTGACAACTGAAGTTTAATAGAATTTATTAAATTTCTTTTGATTTATAACATTTAAATATGACTAATTTTATGAACAAGTTTAGATCATGTTGAGACAAATAGAGCCAACTTACTTTTACTTTACACATTTCACAAACATCCAAGAATTGAATCAAAATGAAACATAAACTTAAATGCAAAGATATAAGCATTTCTAAAGGGAAATAGGAAAAATCTACATGCCTGTTAGTGTTGGTGAAGTTTTTAGATATAACACCAAAAGCCATTATCTGTAGAAGGAAAAATTGATAAGTTGAAATGTATTAAAATTAAAAATTTCTGCTTGTGAAAGACACTGTTAAAAACACCAAAAAATAAGAAACAAACTGGGAAAAATATTTTCAAAACACTTGTCAAAAAAGGAACTTGTCACCAATATACATAAATTATTCTTAAAATTCAACAATAACTTACGAAAGTTAATTAAACAGTGAACCAAAAATCTGAACAGACACTTCACCAAAGAATATATATGTAGGTGACAAATCAGCATATGAAACCCCTTATCATCAGGGAAATGCAAATTAAAGCAATGAGATGCTTATTAGAAAGGCTAAAATCTAAAAACCATTATCAAGCCCCAAATTAGTATGGTGCATTTGCTATAATTAATGAACCCATTATAAACTAATGTCTGCATTTCATTCAGATTTACTTAGTTATAACCAAGTACCTTTTTAAATTTCTGTTGCATGGTTCAGCCCAGCACACCATATTACATTTAGTCACTATGTCCCCTTATATTTTTCTTGCTGATGACAGCTCCTCAGATTTTATTTTTGATGATCTTATTATTCAAATATTTTTTCTGCTGTTTCTTTTACAACGATACTGGGCTTCTAGATTTGAAGAGAAAGACTGCAGAGGATAGTGCTTTTCTTATCACGTTCATGAAGGTGTATACTAGCAATATGATTTCTTATTGTTGATGTCAACCTTGAACACATGGCTGTAGTAGTCTCTATTATATTGCCCCACTGTAAAGTTATTCTCCCCACCTTGCATACTGTGATCTTTAGAAGGAAATTGCTATGCACAGCGCACAGTTAAAGAGTAAAGAGTTATGTTCCATCTTAAGGACAGAGTAGTTGCATGAACTATGCAGCATTCTTCTGCATGGGATAGTCATGGCTTCTCCTCCACTCTCTTACCTACTTAACTGGTTGCATCAGTGTGGATTCAGTGGTACTTTTGCTTGTATCTTTGCTTATAATTCAGTGCTAAATTATTTATTTTTCTTACTCAAATTGTTCCAGCTTTGGTCAGAGGAAGCTTTTTCAATTGACTTTAGAGCTCCCTAGACACACCCAAATCATTTTGTGTGCGTTTGAACATTTTCATATTTTCTGTAAGATACTCCAGGCTCATTTTATAACAATTCTCTCTTAGGCTTGCAGACCAAATAGACTCATTAAGTTTATTTATCTTGAGTGTTTTTTGTAGTGACAGACGGCTGACTGACACACTGATTTTTGCCAAT